CTCCCCACACCCACCCCTCCTGTCGCCCCTGCCCGCCCATCTGGCTCGGCCCACCTCCTTCCGGCTCCCTCTCTCCATCTGTCCCACCAAGGTCTCTGCCTAGTGCCCTCCCTCCCTCCTCCACCTTCTCTGGCTCCCCATGGCTGCATCCCTTCCCTGCTCCCTCCCTTCCTCCTTTCATTTATTCAATAACATTCCCGGTGTGCCCCATGCTGGGTAATTTTGCAACACCAGGGAGGACCCACTAATCTGGCATGAGGGGAGACAGAGGTAGATACAGACACTCCCAGACCTATGCAGTCAGGATTGAGGCAGAGGTAGGGACCACCCCCTGGGAGACCCTAGAGCATAGAGGAGTGAGGAGCCAGAGGTTATCCTGGGGCTTCACTGAAGATGGAAAATCTGCGGTGGGTTTTGAAGTATGAGTAAGAGTTTGGGGTGGGGAGACAGTTTCTCATGTTGGAGGAATACCTACATCCATTGACTCATTTAATCTCTAAACAAGTTTATGAGATGAAAACATTCTCATTCTACAGATGGGCAAATCAGAAAGGGAGAGGGGAAAGTCAGAAGCAGAGGCCCAATCTCCTGCGGGGCGGGCAGGTTTCCTCAGGGTCTTCTTGGGATCCAGCCAACCCTCTAGCCAAGGGGCCAGGGCTCTGGGGAGTGTCTGTGTCTTTGGAGTGGGCACACATTAGATAGCTGAGACCCAGTCCTTGCTCTGCCCCCCAGCTTTTGCTGGGTGACGTCAACTAAGCCACACATCATTGAGAACCAGGGTCCCTCATGTCTGACCTGTGTATATTACAGACGGGGAAACCGAGGCCGCTGGGGGAGGGACTGCAGGAGGTGTCTCCAGGGGTCAGGCTGGGGCCCCAAAGATGGTCCTTTAGAAGATGCATAGTTGTGGCTTTAGAAGATGTGGGGGCCCAGGAGAGGCCCCCACTAGGTCATGTCCGGGTGGTATGGAGGAGAAGAAAGCAAGGTGGTCCCCAGGTCACTATTCCAGCCTCCCCTTCTGCCGCTGGAGCCCCAGCAAAGCCTCTGCCAAACACCCAGGCCCCACCGCTCTCCTACTCTAGGTGCTGCCTTGGCTTCTTCTGCCCAGGGGGTGGCATCCTGGCCTTCCTCCCCACTCCTCCTCCCAGGCCCCCAGGACACCACTGTTGAACTCACTGGCTGGCACTCACCCCTCCACACCCCATCCTCACTGTGAAGAGACCCCTCACATGCCACCTCCCCCTGAAGACTTCCCCGCCAAGTCCATCTGCTTCAGGCGCTACGTCCCCCACCAGACACACCGTCCCTCTTGGGTGGGCTGCCGGGGGCAGGGGGCCGAGGGGCCCTGGGCACCCCTCCCCACCTGAGGCCCAGCACAGGGTCCACAAATGACAACTGAAATGAAATGAGACAAGAGCTATGGTTTCCAGACCCCACAGAAAGGGAACCCCTGTCCCCGTCCCCGTGGGCAAAGAGCAAAGTGCTGGGAAATAACTCAAGAGCATGAGTCCAGCTGTGTCTACACCTTCCCCACTTCATGGAGGAGAAACCAGGCTTGGACAGACGACACGACTGGCCCAGAGTCCTGCAGGCTCGACTTGTCTGGGACAGTTCATTCATTCATTCATTCATTCGTTCGTTCATTCATTCATTCATTCTTTCGTTTGTTCATTCAGCATGGATTTACCAAGCTCCCGTTGTGAACTCAGCAATGGGCCTGTGTCACCCACAGGATCCTCAAAGCCCTTCTGCAATCCCATTCCACAAATGAAGAAACTGAGGCCCAGGAGGGTCACACCACTGGACATTTGGCACCTGGGGTCCCTCGCTCAGTCTCAGGTTGGGCTTGGCTCTGAGCCAGGTCATGGGATGTGGGAGGGGGTCTTGCAAGGGGGCCCCTTCAGAAACCCCTGTGTGCATAGAAAGGGTTTTCAGGGGGCTCTGTGAAGGGACCCCCAGCCAGACAGACAAACCTATCCCTTTCTGGGGTGCAGGGCAGACGTCAGATCTGGGATGTCCTTCGCCCCTCAAGACCTTCACGAAAAAAGGGACAATACTGCCTCAAATGGCACAGCCTCTCAGAGACAGGCGCAGGAACTGCCGCCCCC